ATGTCCTATAGAACCTGCTGAACTTGTCAGAGGTGAAAATGAGTCAGATGCTGACTGGCAAAAGAGACAGAGGGACAATGCTCCTCTCGTCATGTCGTATGACATTGAACAAAAGAAATGGTCCTTAGCCAACAAGAAATGTTTGGCTGTGGTAAAGAATACGATTGAGCCTACCATATTGGGCTCGATCCCAGAGTGTGACGCTGTCTCAGAGTACCTTGAAAGAATAAAGAGTCAGTTTACTGGCTCTTCAAAGACTTATGCTACACAGCTGATCAAGCAGCTTGTGACAGAAAGGTACCATGGAGGTGGTGTTAGAGACCACATACTTAGAATGAGCAACATGGCTTCCAAGTTGAAGCCAATGGATTTGGGCATAACAGATGACTTTCTGGTCCATCTGGTTATGGCCTCATTGCCAAAGCAGTTTGACAATTTTATTGTCAACTACAACATAAGTCCAGAGAAATGGAACTTTGAGAAGCTCATTGCTAATTGTGTGCAAGAGGAGGAGAGAATCAAAGAATCAAATGGTGGTTCAATAAACTATGTTAAAGATAAGAAAAAGAACCACAAGTCTCCCACCTCAAAAGGTAAACAGTCTCAGCATCTGCCTCAGCAACAACAGTTCGCTGTTGAGAAAGATCAATGTCTCCACTGCAAGAAGACAGGACACTACAAGAAAGATTGTCCTGACTTTTTGAAAATGATCATGGCAAAGAAAGGTGAGAACATTATTACATTTGTAAATGAATCTCATTATGTTGGTTACTCTAGATCCACATGGTGGATTGATTCTGGAGCAACTATTCATGCTTGTAATTGTTTAAAGGCATTCCGTTCGACGAGGACTACGCAAGGAAGAGAAAGCACCATTAGAGTTGCCAATGGAGTTGAAGAAAAAGTTGAAGCTGTTGGAGATCTTCCGCTAGAGCTCGCGAATGGCTTCACACTTTTACTTCGAGATGTCTTTTATGTTCCTTCTTTGCAAAGAAACTTAATAAGTGTATCAAAGTTGGATTTTGATGGATATGATTGCCGCTTTGGAAGTGGCAAATGTGAACTATGGCATAATAATGCATGTATTGGTCTTGCTGTGTTGCGAGACGAGCTTTATTTGTTATCTCTTTCTGAGAATGTGAATGTTGTGTCCTCGTTGACAAAAGAAAACAAGAAAAGAAAGCGAACTCCCGATGTCTCATCGAAATTATGGCACTGTCGTTTGGGCCATATTTCGAGGGGGAGAATTGAGAGACTAGTTAAGAATGAAATTCTTCCTCCATTGGAGTTCTCAGACTTAGAACAATGCATAGAATGCATTAAAGGAAAATTTGTAAAGAGCATCAAAAAGGGTGCAAAACGAAGCGCAGGAATTTTATAGATCATTCATACAGATATTTGTGGTCCATTTCCTGTAAAAAGTGTGGATGGCTATGACTCGTTCATAACATTCACAGATGATTACTCCCGCTATGGTTATATTTATCCAATTAAAGAGCGATCAGAAGCACTGGATAAATTTAAGATATTCAAAGCTGAAGTTGAAAATCAGCTTGATATAAAGATTAAAGTAGTAAGATCTGACCGTGGGGGAGAGTACTATGGTCGACATACGCCTTATGGGCAAGTCCCTAGACCTTTTGCAAGGTTCTTGCTAGAGAATGGAATAGTAGCCCAGTATTCAACACCGGGCGAACCTCAACAGAATGGGGTAGCTGAAAGGCGCAACCGTACGCTTATGGATATTGTGCGCAGCATGATGAGCTACTCCACACTACCACTCGGTTTATGGATGGAGGCGTTAAAAACCGCCATTCATATTCTCAACAGAGTTCCAAGCAAATCGGTACCCAAAACACCGTATGAGCTATGGACAGGGAGAGTACCCTCGCTAACTCACCTCCGTGTGTGGGGGAGTCCTGCAGAGGCCAAAGTATTTAACCCAAATATTGGGAAGTTGGACCCCAAAACAGTCAGCTGCCATTTTATTGGCTATCCTGAAAGATCAAAAGGCTATCGTTTCTACTGTCCAAACAGTTATACAAAGTTTGTAGAAACGAGACACGCCGTCTTCTTGGAAGACGAAATGATTAGGGGGAGCTCGGTAGTTCGAGAAATTGATCTTGAGGAGAGGCGGGTGTCTGTACCCGCTCCGTCGACTCAGGAACCTTTCTTCTCTCTACCTGCTGATGTTGTGCCTGCAATGCCTGTCATTGAGGTACCAGCACCTGTTGTTACCCCTCCTGTGGCAACAATGAATGAGAGTGAGGAACCTGTTATACAGGATTCAACAGAAATGGTTGTCACACCAGAGGAGGAGCTACAACAGCCTCAAATAGATAATGTGCCAGTACAGGAGACTCATCAAGAGCCTCAGGTACAGGATGTGCCAAATGTGCAGGCCCCTAGAAGGTCTGAAAGAGTCAGAAGATCGGCTATCCGTGATGACTATAAAGTTTATAATATAGAAGAGTCGCATATGGAGGATGATCCCACCTCATATGAAGAGGCCATGAGAAGCGCTCGCTCATCTGAATGGTTGGAAGCCATGAAAGATGAAATGAAATCAATGAAACTAAACAATGTTTGGGATTTAGAAGAAATTCCTAAAGGAGCCAAAACAGTAGGCTGTAAATGGGTCTACAAAACCAAATATGACTCCAGAGGGAATATAGAAAAGTTTAAAGCGCGACTTGTGGCAAAAGGCTTCACGCAACGAGAAGGGATTGATTACAATGAGACATTTTCTCCAGTCTCTTGTAAAGATTCCTTCAGGATTATAATGGCACTAGTGGCACATTATGATTTGGAATTACATCAGATGGATGTAAAAACGGCATTTCTAAATGGAGATTTGGAGGAAAAAGTATACATGGCGCAACCGAAAGGTTTTGTCATGAAAGGAAACGAAAATATGGGATGTCGTCTAAAGAGATCCATTTATGGATTAAAGCAAGCTTCGAGACAGTGGTACTTGAAGTTTGATGGGACAATAAAGAAATTTGGGTTTCAAGAGAATGTCGAGGACAACTGTATTTATTCAAAGTTTAAGAATGGGAGATTTATTTTCCTAATTCTGTATGTGGATGACATTCTACTGGCTAGTAGTGATGTCAGTCTACTGCAGGAAACAAAGAAATTCTTGTCCTCAAACTTTGACATGAAAGACCTCGGTGAGGCTTCATATGTTTTGGGCATAGAGATTCACCGAGATAGAACAAAGTATGCATTGGGACTTTCTCAAAAGACATATATAGAAAAGGTGTTGAAGAAATTCAACATGTACAGATGCAGTGCTACACCTGCTCCTATAATGAAAGGCGAAAAGTATGGGGCATCGCAATGTCCCAGAAATCAGTATGAGCTCAATGAAATGAAAACAAAGCCATATGCGTCAGCTGTAGGAAGCCTACAGTACGCGCAAGTGTGCACACGACCTGACTTGGCATTTGTTACCGGGTTACTTGGCAGATTTCAGAGTAATCCAGGCCTAGAGCACTGGAAATTGGTAAAGAAAGTCTTGCGTTATTTGCAAGGAACAAAAGGCCTCATGCTGACTTACAGAAGATCAGAATCACTCCAGATAGTGGGGTACTCAGATTCTGACTTTGCAAAAGATAATACAAAGTCAACATCGGGATACGTGTTTACCCTGGCAGGAGGAGCTATTTCATGGAAAAGCTCAAAACAGACTATCACTGCAGGGTCTACTATGTATGCCGAGTTTATAGCATGCTATGAGGCAACGGGGCAGGTGAACTGGCTAAAGAAGTTCATACCCGGTTTAAAGGTGGTTGACAGTATTGAGAAACCACTAAAGTTATACTGCGACAACGAACCCACAGTAATGTACGCTCACAACAATCAGTCAAGTGGTGCTGCCAAACACATTGACATAAAGTACTATGTTGTGAAGGACAAAGTCCGGGATCAAACAATCAGTCTCGAGCACATTAAAACAGAAAGGATGCTCGCGGATCCGCTCACGAAAGGCCTACCACCCAACGTGTTCAAGGAACATGTAGCCGGCATGGGTTTAAGGGAAGCCTTATGAATCCTGGACTACAGGGCCCAAAAGTAAAGTATCTGTTTCTGAATAGAGTTGTGTATAGTGGCTGTCGAATCCATCGGTGATTGACCGTGACGATGAAACATGCTCTATTTACAAATCTGTGATGGAATAGAAAAAGCTAAAAGAAAAAGTGAGATCAAGGGGGAGAATGTTAGATAGATCTCCCTCCCCTTGAGCCCAACGGCTCAAGGGGGCCTTGACCGCGCCCTGATCGGGGGCGCCCAGCCCAATGGCTGGTGGGCCCCCGTCACACTGCGCCATATAAAAGAGGGGTGGAGGCCGGCACGGCACAACGTACGAAGTTCACCGCCGCCGCCAACTCCACCCCACAAAACCCTAATCCGATCGAGAGGGGGCGCAGCCAGTGACGGGAAACGCCACCTCCGCGCCACGCCTCATCGCCGGGACGTCTACGACCACCACTGCCGCAGCCGTCATCACCGTCGACCTCACCGGCGCCGCATCCACGTCAAGCCGCGACGAAAACGACGATGTCCGGCGCCTCTTCCTCCACGAACTCCTCAACCGGTCGGTATCTAAACCCTCTCCCTTTCATCTAGAATGTCGTTCATCAAACCCAAATAGAACCACCCGACTAGATCTAACCTAGGTGATCCTAGTGCAAAGTTCAACACCCACGGCACGTAGCGCGACAAAAGATTCTTTAGATGCAACAAAATGTGGACGTTGCTGCCTTGCCTGATTTCTAGATCCACTAAAAAAAGCAATCTTATTGGGTCATTCCGTCGGTTCACATAGACTCACATTTTTCCGTCCGAACCAAAGTGAACCGGCAGAGATGGCTATTTCTGTACTAGTGATTGGTCACTGCTCACACTGACCAGTGAGTCAGTGACCATAGAGGGATAGGTGCAGTAGCTCACTCAATTGAATTCAGTTGCAGCTGCAGGCCTATAAATTGAGCTCACCACTCACTCCCATGGCAGCAATCAAGCAGGCAAAGCTCAGCTTCAGCAACAACACAATTCAATTACAGTCACAATTAGTGAGCCAAGAAAGAAAGAAATTAGAAACGCCATGGCTCGTGCCAAGAACTCCTCTTCTGGCAATGGCGAGGTGGATGTCCAGAAGGTGGAGAAGATCGCCCCGGTCTACAACCTCGTCACCAAGCCCTCCGTCTACGGCGCCAACCGGAGGGCGACGACGGTGAAGGCGAGGCCGGCGACCACTGCCGTCGCCGCCGGCTTCGCCGGGAGCAGCAACAGTAGGCAGCCGGCGCCGGCGCCGGCGAGCTGGCCGCATGGATCAGTGGTCACCAAGGAGTTCATCAGCAAGTACATCGAGGACAAGAAGAGGCAGTTTAATCAAGGAGACGAATGAGCAGTAAACTCAGATTAATATTATCAGTTGATCGATCAGTGCAATATTATCATGTAATATTTAGTATAAATACAGCTACATATCTACATAAGAAGATGCTCTACTTATTAGTTATTATGTATTAATTAGAAATGCATATAATATGTAAGTATTCCATGAGAGTAGAACTCATGAATATGTATATCTAGCTTCCAGATGGAGTTGTTTATAAAGTATATTAACGAGTTATATATATGACCTGAAATTTATGGTTTTCAGCTAGTTAATTGACCAGTACACTTGTCTTTTCTCAATGAGTTATCTGAAATTCTGATTGATGTGTATCTGAAATTGTACTTGGGATGAAAAAAGGAAGTTCAGATAAATATTGTTGCAGAGCCTGATCTAGTTCGTCGGAGAAAAATTAATCGATCAACTAGCATCGATTTAATTCGATCATGCAATTTGGTACGATCGAGCTTTTATTATTCTTTTAATTTCTGGGTATGTTGGGTGCTCACCTGTTTCCCCAAAGCAGGAAGTAAAGACAGACACTCGGAAGAACAAGATTCTGTTCTTTCTGACTTTAGACTTTGAGTTGTTGAGAAAACATATTTTCTCCCCTGTTGTCTTGTTGATTGATGATAACATGCATGTTAGTTAGTGCTAGCTAGGCTCTTTTTGTTTTTAGAAAGATAGGACTTTTTGGCTTTTTTCTATATTAATAAATCAAAAGTAGAATATATGTAGGTATAGAGGCCAAATAATGTTTTCATTACCTTAAAATTAAGGAGTAAAGAAAACAAAAGAAAGGGAAGCGGTGGTAGCTAGGCTCTTACCTACAAGGTACTTGTCCGAACTTTCTAAAATCTCTCTTTATTAAGGAAATGATATGCAACGTACTCATATGCTAAAAAAAATGTAAAAATGTCTAAACAGTTAATGAACTTATATCTTACAACAAGGGCAACACCTTTTCTTTATATAACTTTACTAGATTAGAGAGTTTCTTCTCATACCTTCGTGATCAAGTCGCAACGTGGTACACATTTCCTTTTGAGAGATTAAAGATCATGAGTCAATTAAGACAACCTAACAAACTAAATAGAGGTTCTTTCTTTTTTGTTAAAGTTCAATACTAGTATTTTGTTCTCCCTCTGTTCTTTTTTATATGGATTGAGGTAGTATGTCAGTAAATTTCTCTTTATACAATAAACATATATTTAAGAACAGATATTATATATCCTTTTTAGCAAAAAAAAAACACATAAGAGTTGGAATTTTAAAACTCTTTTTTTATGACGTGGTAGAACATTTGGTTATAGAGAAATAGAATGGCTTTCTAACATCGTAGCCAGAATGTAGATAGCGTTAACGCTTGTGATTAAATATATTAACAATAGAAGCTCTTGCTTTTGGTTTCATATATAGTCTGATTAAATGTTTTGGAAGTTCTTATCTTTTAAATAGAAGTTTAAATTTCTAACAGTAAGAAAGCAATAAGAGCAATGTCTACTGGAAAATTCAAATCTTTAACTTCAAAGTTTAAATATAAATTCAAATCTCTTTAAGCTTTTCATATTGATTGTTCTCATAGAGTTTTTTTTTCACTGTGTAGATGCTCCTTTTCAGTTAAAAAAACAAACAATATTATTAGGTAAGAAATAATATTTTTTTATATGTAATTTGTCTTACTTTTAGGAAATAATATGAAGCCCCATATGCGAATTGGGCCTTAGATGGTTAAGCTCATTGTGTTGGAATCTGTTTGTAGTTTTAGATTTGGCACCAGCCGGGTGTTGTGTATGGTCCGACTTGTACTCGAAAAAAATAAACCTATTACGCCATAAATGGTTAACTCACTAAACATTAATTGTAGCATGAGACATAACCTTTAGATAAACTCAGGGCTGGGCTGGCTCGAGGGCTTAGGTCGGTTGTGCGACCGCCTAGGGCTCAGGCTTATCACCAACCAACCTAGCTAGCAGAGGGTGTCATCGTCCATCCTTATGCCTGAATCCCACGCGGCCACACCTTACCTCATCATGACTAGAGTTTATTTTATTTTTTTTTCATCTATTTAGTCCAAAAATTAGGCTAAGATCTTGTTTTGTTCTTCTTGTTTAATTTACTCCATAATATTATGTGTTTATTTTGTTAGTATTACTTATTTGTGTCACTTTAGATGATACATGATTTATAAAGTATATATTACAAGTAAACTTATATTTGGCCTTAAGGATTTTTATCACCGAGTTTGCCTAGGGCTCTTAAAAATATAGAGGTGGCCCTGGATAAACTAGAGACGAAGACTATCATCTAACAATAGATACTAAGCAAATACATGATGATGTGGCTATATGTGAAGGTTGCTTTACAGATAGTGTGTGAATATATGGCAATCTAATGGCCAAGAGTGTTGATGACTTGGCTAAACATGAAAACTGATTTATGGATAGTGGGTTTTGACTATATACAAAGAAGTGATAGGACCGCTGAGGAACCAAGTTGTCCGCGGTCTCTTATTATGGGTTGCATTTTCCCCAAACTTCCGTGGGACTTCCTTCAATACCCATGTGTCGATTTTGCTTTTGGAATTGATACTCGATATTTCTGCCAAGGAGAGGCTCCACTTAGATGCCCACGCGTTTATTAATCGCCACCACCTTACCATCACAAACTTAATTAATTCCAATAGCATATACCAACAATTTCAGACTACAAATGAGAATATGTACAAACCTCTTCCTCCTTTACATAGTTCAGAGAAATGGGAAATGGTGCCACTTGCTCTCACAGTGATGGACAGTCCATAGAATCCCATAAAAGAAAAAGTAGAACATTCCTACCAGCTAGCTAGCAACATGTGCAGCTCCCTATAAATTGAGCCATTGGTAGATCAGCCATTGCCATCAGAGATAGCTAAGCTAATAAGAGCAAGCTTAGAACAAGAACACATCACTGTCTCCTAGCTAAGCTAGCCAATTCAATTCAAACACACAGAAATTCAGACGACGGCGACGACGATGTTTCGCCGCGCCGCCATGGCCGCCGCCGCACCCTCCGACAGCGAGGTGAGGGTTCAGAAGGTGGACAAGCTGGACCTCGTCTTCAACATCCTGACAAAGCCGCCGGTGTACGGCGCCGGCAAAGGTAACAACCCTCCAAAAGCTCCAGCACCAAGGCGACCGGCGGCTACCGGCGGCGACCATGGCAGCGGCGGCGCCGTCGCCGGCAGGAAGCAGCCGGGCGTCGTGTCGATAGAGGACATCAACAAGAGGTCTGAAAACTACATCAGGGACAGGAAGAGGATGTTCTTTGGCCAAAATTAGTCCAAATTAGTTTCGAGCTCGATCATGGAAATTAATTGAAGTGTTAAGATCGGTCTGCATGATGTGATATTTGCACTGTATTACGTACGTATATACGGATGTATGCATGCATAAATATGGGGAAAATAATTAGCCCCTGATCGATGGGCGCTTGTGTTGTAAAATATTTACCTGAAATATATGAATAGCTTGCTATATGTTGACTGTGTTTTCAAGAGATTTTTAATTTTCAGAGACTGAACTTCATAGGCTATAGTTAGTGCTTATATAAGGATAAGGACGACTGTAAATTAAATTTTTTTTGTGAGGATTTTCTAGCTAGGTTGCCTACTGTAAGAAATTGTACAATTTTCAATACAAACATTACACATTATTAATCAATTGTTGGCACGATAGTTGGATATATTTCTTTTAGAAAATGGATTAAAAACCCAGCCTCTACATCTAAGCTGGATGTACACAGCCAAAAGATGGTTGGATACATATGCACATCATCTTAAATGTAGAGGCTGAATTGAGATTTTTATTATCGAAAGAAACTGTTGGCACGTTATCCATTAATTTCTAGCTATTAGCAAATCTGGTTGGGCTCTATGTCTAGCATGCATGATGAGCCCTTTTCGCAGTTTTTGAGTAAATACTTTGAGGTACTATCGTTTTCTATGTATGGAATGTCTATATTACGTGCTATATCAGTTGAAAAAAATGTACCTCACCCAAGAGTGCAGTTTAACTATCTTAATTACTTGGCCAATGATATTGTCTAGAATTGTATTGGTAATTTTGCTATGAAAATGTTTTGACTGATATTTTCAGAATGTTTTTTCAAGTAACATAAGACTTTGGGAGCGAATTGCTTATAATACGCGCATAACACTGAAAAATGAGAAATAAGCTGCATGAGTCACTGACATGCATGCAAGCCTAGAGGCTCCTATGCTATACTTATACAGGAATTTTATCATTCTTAAGAAGATACCGGGATATACCATATTTTATATATATCTCCAAATATATATTAGATATCTCGAGGTACCAAAATTTTTAGTGTAAAATTTTTATTAATACTTACATATACTTTCTTAAGGACCGCAAAATTTCTCTACTTATATATCTTGGATGTTATTGAGCATATTTCTTGAGAAAAAAAGGTAATGATAAAGGTGTTATTTTATTAAGTATATAATTTTAACACAAATAAATATATTATTTTTAAAAATAAAGTTTTCCTTTTTGTGAATGGGTCGATCAATCGAAAGTAAGCCAATCTAGCCACCTGCTCAAGTTAAGACCTGTCTCTGGCCATCAAAGTCATGGAGAGTTATGATCTAGCTTGGTACCTAATAAAATTCTTCTAGACAGTTTGAGACTTTCCAAAAGATGAAGATGATCAAAAATCCAGACAAGAGAAGCAGTCATTGTTCCTGCTCGCTCCAGTATTGCATCTAGCTAGCTATTCATATGGACTCCATTGCATTCACGGAGAGATCGAGAAGACTAGATCGATATGATCCTATCAATATTAATCGAGTCTCTTAATGATCTAGCTTGCGTTCATGCCCTACGTGTGGAAGGTACCTGATGCGTCTGCAACGTGCAAGTGTGCCAAATAATTGGCAGCAGATATATTGGTTTAAGTTATAAAAAATTTTGAGCAGTTGACATGAGGTGCTAGCTTGAACAGTAAGATCGATTCTGTAAATCTTAATTTCCTGATACCAAATTTGTGGTTTCAGTTTTCATTTTCATCGTGGTTGTCATCGTCGTCTGCGGCAGCATCGATCCCCGTACTGTGAGCTCTCCAATCTGAGATCAGCTGCGCCTATTCTGACCCAAGATAATCAGTAATAAGCTGTAATTTCTTTTCTTCTTGTCCCCCGGCAATGGTCCTCTGACTGGTTGCGATATGTAATTAAACTCTTCTTCTAATATAATATATTGATGTGCATGTAATTCTTTTCTGCGTTCAAAAAAGAAGTAATAAGTTGTAATGAGATGAATGTTAAATATTATATGTTCCCCACAAAAAAAATATTATATGTTCTCCCTTATATTAAGAAAAACAGACGTACTTACATATTAATCACGGGAAATTAGTGATGGTGGAACCATGGAACATACGACCTCCGTCTAAAAATAAATTTATTTTTAGGTCTGTGCCCTACGTTTGATCGTCAATCTTATTTTATTTTTTTAAAAGAAACTAAAAAAATTAGTCACACACAAAGTACCATTTATGTTTTATCATCTAATAATAATAATAATATTATTATTATTATTAATCATAAAATAAAAAATTTAAATAAGACGAAGAGTCAAATATTGTATTTAAAAACTGAAAAATGAACTTTTTTTATGGGATGGAGATAGTATATAAAACCACCACATATATTTCCTTTTTTTCATCGTAAGATTTTGTTTTTTTTTTTGGGGTCGGCCGAAGGTTGTAAGGTTAATCTTGTTTAATTTTTTTATAATGTATTAAATTTACACCAATATGGGTGTACATAGGCATAGCCATAATCTTTTTAATTGGAGTTAGCCTACCTAACTCTTCAGAATGAATTGACGAATGATGCACGATTAATAATGCCCATTAATAATCACACTATAATTTTTACGGCCTTTACAAAAGTACTACTATATAATGGCATTTGTTAATTTGTTAAAAGTGGTGTTAAATATGGTACCTTCTCGAGAGCTCTAAATTAAATATTTCAAAATCTTGACAACTGTAGAGAGAAAGAATTAACGTTAATTAGCTTGTGCCATGTGGAATTACCAGGTGCGATTAGTGGTGATATATTCGTGAGATGATGATAAGCTAGCCCCTTGTACTTTTTCGAGAGATTGATTAGAGTAGTCGCAGTCATGGATGCCTAATCGTGTCAATTATTATGGCTGATTAGGTCTCATTACCAAACTAATTTGGCAGGAGAGATATATTCCATGCATGTACACCGCAATATATAACAGCTTATATATCTATCGACTTGACGTTAATGATTTGCAAAGTAATTAATTACATACAACGCAGAGATCATGCGGCAGGAATATAATGACGGTGATTAATTAAATTAAAGAAATGAACACTTCCATCAGAAATTCCCTGTGATTATAAAACAAAACTAAAGCAGCTTTTACAATGCGGCTGCAACGAACTGAGTATTTTCCATGCCGTAGATATTTTGTCACACATGTTACTCGTGACTTATGAACAGATCAATATATAATGATTTTAATGTATTGATAAAGTACTGGTTCGCCTATCAGAATCCAGAAACTAATGGAGTTAATTAGATGGAACTATGAATTTTTATCCTACTGAAGAGTAATCTGAGGTATATGTTTCATTTCTCAATACAGTCCGGCCTTTACAACTGAAAGAAATTTTACAATCATTAAAAAAATCACCACAAGTTACATAAATTTTATACTAAGAATTTTGATACCTCAAATACCTGGAGATATCAATTTATATACAAGAAAATATAATATCTCCAAATACTTCTTATTTATTGTGAAGTTACCTGTACATCTACTGACGATAAATTTTCTGAAATCTGGATAACATGCATGACCAGGCAGCAGGTCAAGTCATGCCAGAGTCAAGCTAGGAACATTGTTACCTGACGATTCTCTCCAGACTAATCACACAGGTGGTCATATGGATTCAAACTTCAGTTCTTTTTTATCACATTAATCTGTCATACACACACAACTTTTCAGTCACATCATCTTCAATTTTAACTAAAATCTAAACTTTGCGCTGAACTAAACACAACCATATCTGAAGAGAAGCAATTGCGTACGACCTTCTGTCTGCAATTCTGACTATACAAACTGTACAAAAGTTAGCTGAAACTGTACCTGAACCTTAATTTCATGATCCAGGTGTAGAAGGGACCTGGTGCTTCTCCTTTGCGTCAGTTGACATCTTGAGACTCAGAGACTGAATATGATCGATGCTCTTTTTTTTTTTCGTGAACGCACAGAAGGATTACATATCATTCTATTAGAAGGAGGAGGAGATATATTGATGCTGTGGCATGAATGCTGACGATCGATGATCGATGCTGGGAACGTAACGCTATCAAACATACGCAGGCGATCGAGATAGCTATAGACGCTATAGACGTGGAGCGATGTGAGCAACACAAGCAACCGATTTTATTAGCTTAAATTGATTCCATGGGAAACCTTGCGTACATCACGTTTGATTCCCGTCGTCCGATCCGGTCCACGGCGAGAGCGACGGCCATCATATATCGAGATTCCTGCATGTATGCATTATTGTGATTGATCCAGGGATTAATCATCACCTGGGTGAAATCTCTCTATTAACTATTCACCTCTCTAATAACTAGGTGAAACCCCGCGCGTTGCTGCGAGAATTCAGTATGAAAATAATAAGTAAAAATAATATGTAAGATAGCTAAACAACATAAACTTACATAAGCACTAAAATCAATTGATGTGATATGGATTAATTAGAGAAGAGAGAAATAGCATTAATCAAGTGAGGATGAACTTACATAGGTACATAAGATATTATAAAAAATAATGAAGATATATATTGAAATATTATGTGAATTATGGGGGATGATGATTTAACATGCTTTCATTTTAAAAGCTCTAAAATATAATAAATTTTAAATTATAGATAATATAGCATGTTTGCATGATGTTAAATGTATTGGTTGTTCGTGGATGATGATGTGTCAACTTGTTAGTGAACGATGATGTGTCATCTTTGCATGTTAAGATTTAGGAGTTAGTGGATTATAACTTTATAGTAAGATAGAATTAATCACCGCAGATTTACTAAGTACTTTTGCTAAGCTAATTTGGCTGTTTGAGTAACTGCATGCATGCACAGTTTGCTTGACGTGTCCAGAGCTTGTTCGGTTAATCTCATTCAAAAGAGGATTGAGGGGATTCGAAGGGGAATATATAGGGGTTGTTTGGTTCCCTCCCAAACATTGCCAAACCTTCTTACCAAACCTAGCTAAATATGTGGCTTATAAATTAATGGCCACACCTTAAACATGGTTTGGCTAAAAAATGGTTGTATGACATGTGGGCCTTTGAATTAAAAAACTGTGGCATGCCACAAGTTTAGAAGTGAAACAAACATATGTCTTAAAAAGTATGGCAAAGTTTGGTAAAATGAGGGAGTGAACCAAACAGCCCCATAATTTCATACTTATGGAGGTGTGGACCTCAAATACATTCAAATATGGGGAATCACTGAACAGGACTAGACAAGGTTATCAGTGCCTGTTTGAGATCGTTGTCAGTGTCGATTCCATGTGTAAACAGCAATGATAATGTAGTAGTGTCAGTTGTAGAACCAGAATAGATTAATTGATGGTGCTTTCATGAGAGAATGAAAAATCGAGCCGATGCTTTGAGCTAGATCAAAGGCATTGCTATCCTTTTCGAGGCATTTTTGATCTGTTGTTCCCATAACTTTAAACCATAAATCGGATAAAAATGAAATAAAATTTCAATTGCTCATCCATAAACTAACACAACACACAATCAATTCTAAACAAGTCACAAATTTCATCAAGTTGAAAAAAATGCACAAAATGTATATCCAATAATGGCACTTTACAAGTCACGAATTTCATAAAAAATAACACCCAAGACCAACACAAACACACATATGCATAGATCCCATTTAATCTACAACTCACTAGCTTAGAAGATGCATGAAGAGGCTGCTGGAGGAGGTCATTGTTTGCCGAGACTTTTTTTTGCGGGGAAATTGTTTGCCAAGACCTTGATCAATGGTTTCTACCCTTGGGGGCAGCCAGCCCGCCAGCCCAATGGATCTATAGCAGCCTGTGTATGTCATGGTAGAGCAGCCCTCTGCTCACCAAGGAGAGGGAGGTGTTTGCCCCTAAGCTCATGACCATAAGATCTGGACATTCTTGAGCTCTAGATGGCCAGCTCCATGAAGATGAGAGGGAGTTGCCATGCTAAGGAGGGAGCCACAAGGGCCTCTGCTTGTCGGGAAGAGAAGGAGTAGGGTGGCAATTTCCCCGTTAGGGCCGGGGTGGGGAGCAATTTTCGCCGGCGGGTGAGCGGGGATGGGGGCGGGGATCGTTAGCCACCCGTGGGCCGTGGGTGACCCGGCAGGGCCCCGAGGTATAAGATATATCTTAAAATATAGCCCATTTCAACAATACAAGCCCGGTTGGCCCAATAAGTGAGTATTATAAAATCTAAACCCTAATTTCCCAATCGCCATCCCCTACTCCTAGTCCCACTCCCCTCACACATCCTCCACATCCACTGCTGGCTGGCCGCCGCTGTGTCGCTGATGTTTCCGCTCCTCCTCTGCCTGTCGTCACGCTGCCTTGACCCGCCGCCTCCAGCTCCGCCTGTCACCACACCACCTCCGCTCGTCGCCGTCTCAGCTCTGCCTCCGCCCGTCGTCGCACCACCTCCGTCTGTCGTTGATCAGCCTTAGCCTGGCTACGCCGCCTCCTCCTGCTGGCACACGGTGGCGCCTCCACATACTGCTTCTTACCGTCGCTGCGTCGAGCATCCTTGCCTACGGGTGCAATGGGCCCCCGGTCGAGTGACGGGCCCTGGAGGGATGGGGACGGGGCTCATTTTTGACCCGGCCACCAGTCCGAGGCTAGGGCCGAGTAGACGCGCAAAGGAGTGGATGCAGGGTCGTTCCAACTCAATCCGGCCCCGCCCCGCCCCGTTGCCATCCCTATGTTAAGGACGGTGTCACTGATCGCCATGAAGAGGGGAGGGGCGCCATCACAGGAGAGAGGGAGATAGCCATCATTAGACAAGGAAAGATGGCCGCCGCTCGCTACAAAGAGGAAGAGGTGGAAGAGAAGAGGGAAAAGTAAGAGAGTGAGGAAGGAGAGCAGGGCGAGATCGACTGAAACCACAGCCGGCTTAACTCTGTTTTTGGTGTCGGTTAATTATAAAACCAGCATTGATATTAGTTCCATGCCAGTTCATGTAAAAAATCATAATGAATACATCAGTGTCGGTTGGTCACTTGAACCGGCATTGATACGGGGTCATCACAGTATCAGTTTTTGTCCGTCCAGTGCAAATCTTATCTAATCGTTACCGATAAGACGTCATATTTGGCAGATTCTATGTATAGTGATAGTTAACAGTATAGCTCAGAGCTTGGATGGCCACACGCATGGCGATATACAGTCTCTTGCGCTATACACATGTCGCCGTCATGATCCATTTGGATTCCTACAAACGTGCCTAATTAGTGATCTGTAATGGATTCCACATGCCGAACTAATTCGGTAGTAGAACAGGTTAATTATTAATCCATAATTAAGCTTGCTACTATTGTCCATCTTTATACTCTATTGTCCGAAGGAAAAGTTCTACTATTGCTGATGTTATGAGATCTGTTCGACTCAATTAATGTTTCCTTTAGGAGATCATTTAGTTGATCAGAATCTTGCATATTGGCATGAATTGTGTGCTTCTATTGTACATATTCAATTGAATCAATTCTCTGATAGCTTTAGATGGAATTATCATCAGAATGGAATATTTTCTGTTAGGTCGATGTATCTAGTTTTAATTAATAATAGTTATATTGAGAGAAACAAGATTATTTGGAAGCTTAAGATGCCACTTGAGATTAAGATTTTTATGTGGTACTTGTTTCAAGGGGTTGTGCTAACCAAGGATAATTTGGCAAGACAAAATTGGAATGGCAGTTTAAGATGTTTTTTATGAAAAATGAGACTATTTAACATCTTTTTATAGAGTGTCATTATGCAAAATTTGTTTGGAGAGCAGTACAGTTCTCTCTTGGTCTATACCTTCCTACTACCATATCTAATATGTTTGATGGTTGGGTTTTGGGGTAGACAAGAAGAAGAGTAAACTCATACTTGTAGGAGCTTCTATCATATGTTGGGCTCTGTGGTTGACTAGGAATGATATGGTTTTTGACAAATCACCATCTATCTCATATATTGGCTCCGATTTTGGGCACAGCTGCAAATGTGTGAAGATGATCGAGAGCTTACGAAGGTTACATGTCGTAGGCTTGAGACAACGGTCATGCAACTCTTTGCAAATTATGGATGGAGATTCACAAATAGACTTGAATAAATGTGCTCTCCTTATCTTAGTTTAATTTTTTATTTTGTTGGGTGTGTTTAATTCATTTGAACTACACTCAGTGTTTGGGTGTTACTTTTGTAATAATTGGCTATAGCTCTGATGAGCAAAGGCCGGGATGTTTTATTCCATTATCTAAAAAAAATTAAGCTTGCTACTTTTGCTTACGGTGTGCATGCACGATGAAATAAACATTGGGCATATACAATATATAACGTAGGAAACTTTAAAGTAGGAGACTCAGAGGTGATCAATTAAGTTAAGAAAAAAACTTACTCCCTCTGATAATAAATATTTATTCCCTCCATTTTTCTTTATATGACGGTTGGCGTATGTATCCAAATTTGTACTCCCTCTGTTTCACAGGAAATGCTAGAATGATTTACATCGTGAAAAGGAGGAAGTAAGTATGGTGGTCCAATTTAAATAAACTTTTTAAATACCACAAATATATATAACATGCCAATATACAATATATATATGTATAGAAATTGACCTAAAGAAACTTAATTAGCTGGGCCTTGGGCTTCCCTAGATCCGCCTTATATACGACTTAGAAAAGTAGTACAATTTAAAAATCTAAATATATCAAGAATTTCTCGAATGCTTAGTTTATCAAAGATCATACCACGTTGTTTTTTTCTAAAAGAAAAATCTGTCTTGAATAATACTATCATACTATCATACTATCATAATTTTTTAAGTTTATAACTAACTTCCCCACAAAATTAATCACCGCAATTAAGTTCGATTGAATTTTTTTACCAAAAGTTTGACCGAATATTTGTACCAAAAGTTTGACCAAATCTTATCCACCCAATCACCAAATATTCATGAATCATGATGATTGAAGAGAGGCACGGCCATATATAATATAGAAACCACACGTGGAAAGGATGAACAATTAGCTAGAGCAGCAGGTGCTGTAGCGAAACTGATTACAAAAGAAGATAAATTGGCCACTTTAAGATTATCATCTGGGCGTTTGATATTCCAAAACTGCTTAGCAATAGTCAGATAAGTGAGTAATGCTGGGCTGAACCAAAAATGTGCTCATTTTTTTTCACGTTTCCTAGCTTTAACCCCCAACTGGAAATTGGCATTAACGGTGGAACTAAAGCTTAAGGTTAATTAGTTGCAGGATCTTAAGTACGAAACTAGCATCACGCCCCTGTATGAATGCATGCCAATGGAATCATCGATGAGGTGATGAGATGGCGATGGAATGCCGTGTGCTGCGACTAACGGCGCCGATGATTGTCGCAGCTAGCGCCAGCTTCCTTAGAATATGCCCATCGAAAATAATCCCTTCGTTTCATGCACATTTTATTCTTTTCCTAAGTCTAACAACTATAAGTTTAACTGAGATTATAAATAAATTTAGTATTAAGATAAATTTTATGATGGATTTGACAAAACTAATTTAGTATGGTAGTTGTTGTCGTGCATTTTTCATAAACTCGGTCAATGCATAAAGTTGAAAAATAGCATATATAGAACAAAACTAAAATATTTTTAGAAATTAGCTTATGAGAATGCCCATGTAAATAAAATTGGTTTTATTTAGGGCCAGTGTACTACATTAGTTGATTTGATGTTGTCGAAATGATAAACTTTTTATGTTAAAAACTGGCTTATTCTACAAAAAGTTATCGTCTTTGATAATACCACGGGAGGAGCGGATGGTACGCACAGCGGTGCTATATTTTTGGAATTGGTATTTAAGGGTTTTTCTTGCTTTGAATATAATGATATAATACCTACGGAATTATTCGTTAGAATCTATATTATTTGTCTTTAACATCTCATTCAGACGATCATTTTTCAAGAGGAGCTGAGGACTTGTCCCGTCAGTTGATACTGTTTTTTCTTTCACGAAACAAATTTGAATATATATTGGTATAGAAACCGAAGATATATATAAACCAATTTTCATAATAAAAAAAACTAACATAACTTGCAACATGAAAACATGAATTGGAGGGAGTAACTGACAATTAATTGACCTTGAAAAGGAGATATTGTTAACCCTGACAACTTCAACTCCAAATTAGGAGCTAGTGTTACATGTTTCTTCAAGCTCTCGGTTAAAATGACTTGCACACATAAAAAATAAGGGTGAACAAAAAACTCAAAACTCGTGGCTTGGATTAGCTCGTGACAAAATGCTTGGCTCGAATTGGCTCAAACTTATAATTTTAATGAGCAAGCTAACCTTTTAGCTTGTTAACATTAGCAAGTCGAGCCAAGCAGGCTCATCTATTATATTATTAAAGGAATAGAAAAAGAAGCCTCCATGTTTGCTCTCATGGTCTATAAATTCTCACATTAATTAGGGAAAAAGAAAAGACAGAGTCCATATAGAAATACAATTTAGAAATAGCTGAAATTCGGAATTAAAAAATATGGAATCTTAGAAGATGAGACTAGAGTCCATATAGAAATACAATTTAGAAATAGTTGAAATTCGGAATTAAAAAATAAGGAATATTAGAAGATGAGATTAGAGTCCATATATAGAAATACAATTAGGAAATAAATAACTGAAATTCGGAATTAAAAATAAAGAATATTAGAAGTAGAGTATATAGTCCATATAGAAATACAATTAGGAAATAACTGAAATTCGGAATTAAAAATAAGGAATATTAGAAGTAGAGTATAGAGTCCATATAGAAATACAATTATGAAATAACTGAAATTCGGAATTCAAAATAAGGAATATTAGAAGTAGAGTATAGAGTCCATATACTGAAATTTGGAATTAAAAATAAGGAATATTAGAAGTAGAGTATAGAGTCCATATAGAAATTCAATGAAGAAAAAAAAATAGAAATTCGAAATAAAAAAATAAGGAATATTAGAAGTTGAGTATAGAGTCCATATAGGAATTTAAAACTAACTAAAATTTGGAATAAACATAATAAAATTTAATAAAATTAAAAGTAGAGTTTAGAGTCAGTATAAAAATACAATTTATAAATAACTAAAATTTGAAATTAAGAAAAACATGGGAAGAAGAGTTTAAAGTCACTATAGGAATACAATTTAGAAGTAACTGAAATTCGAAATTAAAAATTAAAGAATATTGAAAGATGAGTTTAGAGTCCAGATAGAAATACAATTAGAAATAATAAAAATTCAGAAATAAAAATAAATAATATTGGAAGAAGAGCATAGAGTCTATATAGAAATACAATTTACAGAAAATTCGGAATTAAAAAAAAGAAATATTAAAACACGAGTCTAGAGTCCATATAGAAATATATATAATTTACAAATAACTAAAATTTGATATTAAAAATAATTAATAACTAACACGTATATAAAATATAATATGAATATTACGTATTAGTAGTTTTGTAAAGTTATTGCAAAATTTAAAATTATGTTGTCATTTTAATATATTTGAATAATATAATGAGAAAACATATATGCTATTATATGGGAGAAAACATAATGATGCTAGCCGCGCAATCTGCGTGGGCCACCATGCTAGTTAATTAAGATAATGAGATCAAACGAGCTAAGCTGGCTCGTTATCCACCCCTACATCAAAACCTGGAAAATAAAAGGTTATATTGTTAGTCATTTTTTTTACTTCTTTTGAAAAGCCATCAGTTATTCGTATGTCTTAAACAATTTTATTGAAAACATTTGTGACACAAAATTGATAACTTCAGAGCTTGATGACCGTCTTGATGCTTAATTATGATTGACAAGCACGCACCCTGACCCTGGTTAGGTTAGGCCAATATATTCGGAGGAAATTAAAAAAGTAAATAACTCAATGAGAAAGCCTGACATTTCACATATATGCAGCCTTAATGCAAAAGGAATATAGAATATTATATTGGCTATAAAAAGGACGCCCATTTGCTAGGTGCAAATCCAATCCAACCAAAGCAAGCCAAGAAAAAACAAGAAGCAAAAAAATCCCAAAGCAATCTAGCTAGCTAAATAACATTAGTTTAGTGCAAGTGCAAGAACAGCTAGTAGCTTAGCTTAGAGAGCAAATTAAGATGAGCTGGTGGCAGAGCCAGAAGATCATCCGCAAGGGAGGAGCAGGAGGAGGAGGCAGTACTGCTGCTCCGGCCACCGCCGCCGCCGCCGGCGGCATCGGCGGCGGCGGTGCCGGCGAGGTGGCGGTGCAGAAGGTGTACCACAACCTGGCACCCAAGCCGACCTTCAGGAAGATCGACAGCATCAAAGAGGACATCAACAAGAAGGCTGACAGGTTCATCAAGATGACCAGGGCAAGGTTGTTCAACCAGACCAAGTCCTTCCGGCAGCCGGCCGGCTCGCCGCCGGCGACGGCGGCCGGCCGTGATGGGAAACTCTTCTGATCGATCGATCCACTCGCCGTATATGCCGCCACTGCAAATAAGGAGCTTAATTATTTAATATCTACTTAATTATGTGATATATAGCCATGTTATCATGATCCAGGTAGAACTGATGATGAACTTTATAGATGGCGGTGCATGTATTAATTATTTGTCCTACTTAGGACGACGTGATGATGATTATTTATGGACTAAATAATTTCATTATATTTGAGTATTTTTTTTATTAGTCTCATATGCATGAATCATCTACTGCTTCGTTGAGTTTTGAGGGGTTTTCAAGACCTTGTTCGGATCAGGGATTGAAATTTCGGTTCGAAATTTCGCCCCACCGAAATGCTAACATCTTGCCCGAAAATTTCGGTTTTTTGCATTTTTTTTTGTGAATTTTGTCAAATTTATTCAAAATCTTTCGAAAATTCAAAAAACTTCGTACGAAATTTTTCCGAAATTTTGAAAATTTCGGTTCTATCGCTCACCTGCGGCAGAAATGTTGATTTCGAAATTTAAAACCCTGGTTTGGATAGAGAAAGGCCCAGGGTCTTCCTGGCTAGTAACGCAAGCTGCGAGCTAGACCACTCCAGGTTCGAGCTAGCCTCACGGCCTCACCCCCTCCTTAATTCAAAATCAATTTAATCCTTTCTAGATTGGTCCCATTTTTTGAAGACCTTGTTCGGATAACAGGTTCTTCCCCAATTCAGAGCTTAAGCTAGGATAAGACAAGATGAAAGGATTAAGCTATTGAAGGATCGTAATTCAGAATTTAAACTAGGACTATTTTCTTGTTCTAACTTCCAACTCATAATTAACCTGAACTTTCGAAGAATCGTAAAAAGTTGTTACCTTTTGGTTTAGTAAGGTAGAAACTCGCATGCATATTTCATGAATAGCTTTTAATTTCCATGGGATGTTACTGTCCCCGTTTTCAGAATTCAGACGAGACTTCTTTCTTGAAACTTATATACTTGCTGTTGGGGGCAAATTGAAGTAAACCATTTCATCCAAATTATATCGAGGTTACAATCAAGATGAGCCCGAGATAGTCTGGAACAGTGACGCATGTCTTCAGAAATGAGAATCAAGAACAAACTGCCTTTGTTGGTTGATATGTGACGCCGAGATCGAGACAGTCACATGACGCACAACCGCAAGAACGCACGGGTTAATTTTCCCCTTTAATTAGCGTCATCTTCTCCATCTAATCGCTCCACAAAAATTTCCATGCATATATCTGTTAGCAATAGACAAACCGGTTCATTTTCTGCAAAGCTCAATAGGAAACAAAGGCCGCTGCAAACGGTTGCACACGCATGCCTGCCTGCCTGCCTTATCTGCCACTCAACGTCTCAAAATAAATCAACCTAAAATATAATTAAACATTAGCTAATGGACTGCTGCATGGACATGGAAGGTTAGGGAGGCATGGCTGTGGCTAGATATATACTGAGTAGCTCTCTTGTCCTGTAAATGGACAGCAAGTCTCAATTTGCTTGTAGAGTTGTAGTCTTGGATTTCTTGCCAAGATCGAGCGACAGATCGACAAAGAAGAAGATGGGGGATGCAGTGTCAAACGATCAAGGTGCTATAATTCCGACGTGGAGGCCAGCAGCAAGCTCCTCCTGGGGTTCCTGCGCGGGAGCTCGACGGCGCCGACGACGGCGGCGGCACGGCTGGGCGCCGGCGAGAAAGCTCTAATTCATCATTTCGACCGGTTTGATCTCTTGTAGTTGGGAATCGAAGTTGATCTTAATAAATTAGTGGGAAAAAAATAAACAGATGTGTGGCCCGTTTGTGGTTTGGCCCGGAACGGAATTGAAGCGATGTGCGGCCCATGTATTGTTGGGCCGAAACGGTGGCTTAATGGACGTGCTGCCTGTTTTGGGTGGGCCATAACAGGCTTGTGGAGTTGTGGTGGACCCACGTGCGGACTATTAGCGGGGAGGTGGAGGTTCGTCCAAAAAAAACTTAAAAAGGGATTACCGATATTTATACCACCATATTTTTTCACGAAAAAAAAATAGTTAGCATGTATGTAAGTCCCTACAATATGTTTTTTTTCATGAAAATACATGCCGATGAGATGAGGAATTAAATTTAATTGTTTGGCTTCACGCTGCAATACGCAAAGACGTCAGTGCATTGGTATTTCAATCGTAGCACCAATCTCAACGGAGATCAATTGATCAGAAAATCGACTGTGGTTACTAAAAAAATGTGTCGACATAATTATAGCAGCACTGCTTAAAAATGGTAGAGTTCCCCTCTGTCTCAAGAATTAAACAAGAAATGGTTGTGATTAATTGTGATAAAAATGTAGATGTCCCGGATGAAAATGTAGATGAAGAAATAAAATGAGATAGTTATGATTGGTTAAGATAAGAGGTAATAGGTGAGAATTTGTTATACTCCATATATGTCGAAACTAGATTTCGGCAATAATAAAAGGGGGTGGCTATCAAGCTGGAAAAGTGTATGGGTTTGGAGACAAAAGATTTATACAGGTTCAGGCCTTCTTATAAAAGAAGTAATACCCTACTCCTGTCCGGGGATGAATCCGCCGAGTGTATTATTGATTGTATGATTTAGAGAAAATCAACATCTGCCCCTAGAGGCGCCCGGACCCCCCTTATATATGGGAAGGAGTCCGGGTTACAAAAGATAATCAATATCCCTAACGGAATACACAGATATAGATTAAATATAGCCGTGACCGACTAAGTCTCAAGGTGTTTCCTTGTTGTACAAGTTAAGAAACAAACCCGAGATACAAATAAGATATTCTATACATATTCGGTATCCTATATCCAGCCCAAATAGTATCGCCATGTAGATATGGGATATCCATAATCTCCACAGTAGCCCCCGAGACCTTTGCAGTCAACCATCGTAGCCTTCTCAAAGATAGCAATCCGAGTGCTTCAGATTATTCATGCCAAGGCCCACCGAGTAGCGAAGACGAAGACTGTAAAGGGCGAAAAGATAAAGAATATGGTGCATCGAATAGATGCACCTAATTAGGTGTAGCCCCCAACTATGTGATTAGTTAACAAACTAAACATATAGTTGAGAACAATATAATAACACAATCATGCATTAGATGGCAAAAGCATACGCGGCGCCTAAAGAGGCATTCTAGCCGACTGCTTTTTAGCCATAATAAAAAGAATCCGAGTGGTTTACACTCGAAAAGGTTCACGAATGAACACACTGGACAGGCATCCGAATATAAAACTATAAAGATTACCCACCAAATATTATAAAAATTATGGTAACAAAAAGACTAATAGCCTAGGCTATGTCAAGTTACCACAATAAAAATAGGTATATAACATACCAAGGAAATGACTATGATAAAAACAAGTCATTCCAAGTTAACCCAAACAGCTTTTGTAGCCTAAAAAAGCTTACAAAAACAGCATAACGCTTTTCTGCAGGGCACCTTTTAATTTGCATTGCAATAACTCCAAAGAATTATATGACCGCATAAAAAGGATTTTGTCAGCATTGGGCAACACTATTGTGTGCATAAATATTGCCAAAGCAAAATATGCCTAAGTCCCTAAGGAACACAATGGGCCACGCTGTTAAAAGTATTGGGCTGAGGTACTGTTCAGGCCTAGGCCCACTTGCACCTCCGATACCCTTAACAAAAAATCCGAGATCCAAGCGACGCTTCGTCTTCCCCGCCGGAACGCTCGCCATTTTCCCCACTCCTTGCTACAGTAAATAGCTGCGCCGGCGAACTAGGGTTCATCAATCCGTCCAAATCCACCTTCGAAAAGTGATTAAAAATCCTTCCCGTGATCCACCGCCTCAATTCCTCACCTCTCCCAAGCCATCCATCAAATCAAATCAGCGCATTCGGGTAAAATCGATGGCGGAGGAGAAAGAAAGCTTTGAAGGCCAATGGGCGCCATCCGACGTAACGGAAGAGAACTTGAAGGAGATGGTGGCGCACGGCGTTCTCCCAGCCAAGGAGATCATCGGGTGGCGGCCAGCGTGCGGTGAGGCTTTTCCGACCCCTGATACACATGAGATCGTAGTCTTCTCGCATTTCTTCTATGGCGGCTTCGCTCTTCCGACCTCGAAATTTTTCCGCGGGATCTTGAACTTCTATGGAATCAGCTTGCATCACCTAAACCCAAATTCCATAGTGCATATCGCCAATTTCGTCCATGTTTGTGAAGCCTTTTTGGGAATCAAGCCTCACTTTGCCCTGTTTCGCCGGATCTTCTTCCTCAAACCCCAACCGAACAAGAGCAAACCGTGCGTAGTCGGGGGGGCAGGATTCCAGCTAAGGGGAACTCTGAGCCAAAAATATTTCTCTATGCCCTTCAAGACTTCAAACAAAGGGTGGCATGCAAACTGGTTCTACGTTCAGAATCCTGAGCCTGCTCTTCCCGGGTACTCTTGTCTTCCTCCGGTGTACCAAGATACCTGGAACTCCCTTCCAATCGGAGATGAAGCAGTCCAAGCCTTGGAGTTGATGGACCGCATGTTAAAACTCAAAGAACAAGGTTTGCAAGGAGAGCAGATTACTCGGCATTTCATCAAATGCCGACTGGCGCCAATTAAAGAAAGATCCCGTACAGCTTTTGAGTTCGACGGCAAGCATGATCCTAACCGTGAAGAACCTGACTCTCTGGATTTCAAAATCATGAAGGAGAGAATGTATAAAATCTTCTCAAATGCCATTGTCGTTAGCTACTCACACCAGCTGCCAGTTGTGCCATATAATGCATTCAATCCGCCTCCGCAGGTATGTATCTGAAATCTTCAACTTATGACCAAAATAGTATCTTGTCTTCATGTTGAATTAACTAACCATGGAGGCATCTTATTCAGGAATATGTATTGATGAAATCCGATCCCCCAATTGCTCAGCGACGATCTCCTCGCCAGCACACCATTCAGGGAAGTGGAGGGCCGACAATCAGGTCAGACCCACAACCTCAAACCTCCAAACCGGCTGGGCAGACAGGTCCTCGCAAGAGAAAGCTGGTGCTTGATGACGACGAGGGCGACGACAGCAACAAATCTGGGGACAAGGGCACGCCCAACAAACTCCCGAAGCATACCATGCCCAGGAAAAAACTGGCTGGCCGTCAAACGCCAAAGATTAGAACGTCGTCCAGGTATAAACCTCTCGGCACCAACTCCCTTTGATATGCTTCTCTCATAGAAATTACGCTGAATATCGAAAGGATACTTCGCAGGAAACCGTCCGAC